AAATGCAATAAAAATATTGGTATCGGTACTCGGTATCGGCAAGTACCAAAAATAAAAGTATCGGTATCGGGCGAGTACTGGAAAAAGTGGTATCGGTGCATCCCTACCATTATCTGAATGTCAGCTCTGGAGGATTCATTCCTGTGTAATTCCTCTACATCAGCATTACCAAGTGTATGTCCATGAACAAACTGAAGTGCGTATTTCTATGACAATCTGCATTAATTGACACAATTTTAGGTAATAGTGGGCCCACAGCTGATAAGCAGATGAAACAGAAGCAGATGTCAGTAAAATGACGGGTACACAACAATAGGTTGGAGTTATACTGCTGTGCTATCATTATAAAAATGAACTTTTTACCACTTACTCTTTGCATCCTTATCCTTTGGAAGTGTAAACAAGGAAAATTTGCTTTCGCACCACAGAAAACAGTGTCTTCTTGAAATATTGACAAGACGAACCAAGTGTGTGTCAGGGGAGGTCAAAGTACATTGTTTACTCGGTATCGGCAAGTACCAAAAATAAAAGTATCGGTATCGGGCGAGTACTGGAAAAAGTGGTATCGGTGCATCCCTACCATTATCTGAATGTCAGCTCTGGAGGATTCATTCCTGTGTAATGTCTACATCAGCATTACCAAGTGTATGTCCATGAACAAACTGAAGTGCATATTTCTATGACAATCTGCATTAATTGACACAATTTTAGGTAATAGTGGGCCCACAGCTGATAAGCAGATGAAACAGAAGCAGATGTCAGTAAAATGACGGGTACACAACAATAGGTTGGAGTTATACTGCTGTGCTATCATTATAAAAATGAACTTTTTACCACTTACTCTTTGCATCCTTATCCTTTGGAAGTGTAAACAAGGAAAATTTGCTTTCGCACCACAGAAAACAGTGTCTTCTTGAAATATTGACAAGACGAACCAAGTGTGTGTCAGGGGAGGTCAAAGTACATTGTTTGCAGGCAGCCAATGAAAACCACAGACTGGCATTATGCAAATTTCTAATGGACCTATGTAGATAAGTTACGAAAGTCTAATTGAAATTGCTGATGACTCATTTCAAGATTTGACTTGTTTTTAGTTATATTTCCTAGTCCTTTTTAGTACTATATAATACCATTGTCTTAACATTACGAATACCAATTAATGAAGCCATGCCATTGTTTAACTCCACGTATCTCTTAATAAATCTAATTTTCATTTTCTTGCCATCTCTTGCAGCAATGCCTCACCAATCTCTTGTGATTAAAAAATTTGTACATAGCCATCTTTGATTGTCCCTAATTAACTTGCAATGAATTACACCCCTTATAGCCTACAATCTAAAAAATGCTGGGTTATTTTTTTTAACCCAAATGCTGGGTTCAGTTGTTGGGTCATTTTATTGGGTTGTTTTTAATATTTTTACCTAGGTGCTGGGTAGTTTTCTGCACTCTAAAAATGCTGTATTTTTTTTTTTTTACCCAAATGTTGGGTTCAGTTGTTGGGTCATTTTATTGGGTTGTTTTTAATATTTTTACCCAGGTGCTGGGTAGTTTTTCTGCACTCTAAAAAATGCTGGGTTATTTTTTTTACCCAAAATGCTGGGTTCAGTTGTTGGGTCATTCTATTGGGCTATTTTTTTATATTTTTTACCCAGGTGCTGGGTAATTTTTCTCTAACTAAGCTGCTGCATCATTTTTAATGCTGGGTTATTTTTTTCTACCCAACCACTGGTTTGAGCCTGTCTCCAATGAAACAACCCAGCTGCTGAGTTACAGTCAGATCGCCGGCTTTTTGTGGCCTCTACAGGAGAGAGCGGTTCTCAGCGCCACCGCCGCCGCCATATTGGTTAACTTCTTCAGCGAAATAAAGGTTTGTATACATTTTATTTCATTTATAAAGTCTTCATCCCTTATAGCCTACACTCTAAAAAATGCTGGGTTATTTTTTTTAACCCAAATGCTGGGTTCAGTTGTTGGGTCATTTTATTGGGTTGTTTTTAATATTTTTACCTAGGTGCTGGGTAGTTTTCTGCACTCTAAAAATGCTGTATTTTTTTTTTTTTACCCAAATGTTGGGTTCAGTTGTTGGGTCATTTTATTGGGTTGTTTTTAATATTTTTACCCAGGTGCTGGGTAGTTTTTCTGCACTCTAAAAAATGCTGGGTTATTTTTTTTACCCAAAATGCTGGGTTCAGTTGTTGGGTCATTCTATTGGGCTATTTTTTTATATTTTTTACCCAGGTGCTGGGTAATTTTTCTCTAACTAAGCTGCTGCATCATTTTTAATGCTGGGTTATTTTTTTCTACCCAACCACTGGTTTGAGCCTGTCTCCAATGAAACAACCCAGCTGCTGAGTTACAGTCAGATCGCCGGCTTTTTGTGGCCTCTACAGGAGAGAGCGGTTCTCAGCGCCACCGCCGCCGCCATATTGGTTAACTTCTTCAGCGAAATAAAGGTTTGTATACATTTTATTTCATTTATAAAGTCTTTACTGTGCTGTAAATTATATTATTTTATGCAACGCAACATACAAGGCCGAGATGTCAGTCAGCTGTGTCAGGAGTGGTCGTTTCGCATGATGGTAACACCTTTTGCCTTGCAGAACATAAATTGATTTTATAATGAATTTAATTTAATTTGATGTTTAAATATGTTCTCTAATCTCAGTACTGTTTGTTTATGGGCAGGTTATGGAGTCAGTCACGGCATCTTTCAGCTACGAGTGAAACGCGAGGTGGCGGTCTGAGGTTCGCAGTTCCCCTGGCAAACAGCAGCCCATCATCGGCTCAGATTTTCTGCGACAGACAAACCTCTGGCAACCCAAACATTATTTGGGTTGCCAAACAACCCAAGTTGGGTTGTTTTTAACCCAGCATTTTTTAGAGTGTATCTTCCATTGTCTATGTGTAGTATACACAGACAAACGTACAAAGAACCATACATATGCAAGTATCACAAACACATACAGCACAGAAATTTAAATTAAAAAGCTGACTGCTGCCTTAACCTTTCAATTTTAATTTACTAATGGAAAATGATGCGCTTGATGCTTAAAGCAGTGGGGCTTTAGCTATTATTATTTTCCTGCTGGCTTCATACCCTTTTTGCCAGACACACTAAGCAAAGCTTTCACAAAAAAAAAAAAAAAAAACCTTCAAAGAATATCCATTCACGTTGATAACGTAAAAGTGGCACTTCCTCAAAAGTGTTGGTTGATTGAAATCCCTGCTATGATGGCCTAATTCACAACTCAGCCACAGGTATTAATGAAATCCAGGACTGACAAAAAATGACTTGTGAACAAGATGTGAAAAAGATGTATCTTCAAGAAAATTTTTTAAATAGGCAGAATGTATTGCTGAACTTCCATGTGCTCACATAAAACATAAGTAGTGACCTTTAAATACCTCTTATGAACTGTTGTCTTACATATGAACTATGTTATTTATTATATTCAAATTACCTTGACAGAGAGGCCCAGGTAAAGAATGCAATTCGGTGCCTTCCTCCGGAATTGTGACAAGACAACTTATAAGAGTCTAATGTACATGATACAGTGCATGTTGTCATAAAAGCATTGACCTATGAGAGTGGACTGCCATGGTTTCACAATAGGTACTATCCTTTTCTCTTTTTATTTTTATTTTTTGAAATCTGAAGTTCTCCTGGGGTTCACTGGAGGAATATTCATGCAATTTCTTATTAAAAACATAATAAAATCAAGTAGAAATGTAAAAGAATTTGCTTAAATCAATGCCTCCATCCCTTCAATCACTCAACTTCTATCAAAAGACCCACCCTCCAAAGACATATCAGCAAACCCAATATCAGCAAACCCAAGTGTGCTAGGTGACAGCTGGAAAGATGCTTAAAAAAATTTCATATTCGTTTGGGACAGA